TGCAATCGGGTATCAGACGCCTCAAATCTCGGAAAATGGCTTCCAGGCATCGGTGTATGTGCTGCTCCCTTCCCTCATCCTGTGGCCCTCTTTTCCCCTCCCTGGGTTTGGCTTTATGCACGACGCAGCAGCCATGAACGTGTGAGACGGCTCAAGTCTCGGAAACAGCGCTCAAAGGCAAGGCACTACCGGGCGATACGAAGGGGAATGTGCTGCCCTCGTTCCTCATCCTGTCCCGTCCCTCGTCCCTGTGGTGCAGATCCGGTACGAGTTTGACTTTGAGCACGAGGCAGCAGCCATGGAGCGAATCAGACACGCACTGTCTCTGCCGAGGGCAAGATGGCAGGGTGAAGGCGGGAGAAGCAGGGGGGGATGCAGAGCAGAGCAGTCGGCGCAAAGGCAGATGCTGTGTGGGCGGTGGTGTTACCAGCAGCGCAGACCTGCAAAGGGGGGCAGGGCAGTAAAGGGGATTATAGCTGGGGAATGATGGGAGGAAGGGGGGGACGAGGTGTGGGGTCCACATGGGAGTGAAGACAATGCGAGGAGTGGAGAGGGGATGGATATTTGTGTGTCACCTGTCATCATACCAGCAGCCATATCAGGTATCGTCACCAGGTGGTAATGGTGCTGCCACTGCTGCCCCATACCTGCTTGATGTTTGTATAACTTTTCTCAACCTATTTCCCACTATCCCTTCCCTTCCCTGCTGCCTATTGCACCCCCCAACTCACCTCCAATGTTCCCTCCTTCTTGCTACTTCCCATGCCCATCTCCCTCTCTCCATGCCCTCTCTCCACGCGTGCCTTCCCTTCCCCAAGCCCTTTCCCCTCCTGTCAGTCCCAGGCGCATACTAGTCCTCAGATACCTTCCAGTGAGCAGAAGTGTTTGGGGTCTAGGCTAAAGCAAGTGGGAAAAACAGTGTAAAGAGTACACTAGCTAGCAGCCGAGAGTATGTGAAACTGGAGCTCTTCTCGTTCCCATGCCCTCCTTGCAGTCTGCTCTCCGCACGTCCTTCCCTTCCTCTCAGTCCCAGACGCCTACTGGAGATGGATTGATCAAACTCTCGCCCTTGTTGTTCTGAGCTGCGCCATTTTCTCCCCATTCCCTGTCCCCTTGTTCCCTGCCTCTTCGCCCTCTCCCGGTGCCCACTCTCCCCTTGTTGGCTGCTGCTGCACGAGCAGGGAGGTAGCGCAGCAAAGACGCTTTGTGCTTGGTCTGCGGAGTGGAAAGTGTCAGTCTGTGCAATCACCTGGGTTCCATGCACATTTGTGTTTGTAGGGCTGTATTCTTTCATATCTCCAATAAATACCGTAGTAGTACTGTATGCAAACAGGGTTGTCACACTCTGAAAAACACACTCTGCAAGCTCACAAGCCCAGATTCATGCCATACGCACCGGGCCCTCCACATCACTCTCCACTCCATGACGCATCAACCTATACTAAGCCATGCCAAGCCATGTGCCACAAGAAGTGCCACTTCCTCATTCAATGACCAGAGGGCTCCCTACTCACCAACCCCCCTACCAAAACATAGCCTCCATCACACAACTCTCCCCCTCAGCGGGAGATGGGCTGCACCACGAGGGGAGAGCGCACAGTGTGGCCCTGGTCATCAGACCACACTATAAACCCGTACTTGAAGTCATTACTGGGGGTATCCACCGTGAACGTCAGCGTGTAGGTGGCCTTCTCCCCAGGAGCAAGCATGAGGCTCTTAGTAGACACAGTCACCTTCACCCCCTGCGGCGCCTTCCCAGATACGCTGTATGTGGACCGGGATTGCCCCACGTTGGTGACGGTGCGTGTGACCTGCAGGGAGCCCTGCAGGCGAGGCAGAGTGATGGTGGGCAGGTTGAGGTTCCGGACAGCCAGAGGGGAGAGCGCCACCCCTGGGAACTCCTTTTTCGCGCGGTTGAGGTCCTGCCCGGCCAGGAAGTTCTGGTAGTCGCGGTCGCGGGCGTCGTAAGTAAGCCCGGGGTCGAGCATGGCCGGGGGGAACACGTGGCCTGCGCCCATCTCCCACGGGGTGGCCTCCCTGCCCGTCGCACTCTTGATCGGGCTCTTGCTCGTGTCCGTCACCCGCGCCGTCGTCATCAGCGCTGACATCACCTGCGCCGGGGTCCAGTTGGGGTACTTCTGGATGATTAAAGTGGCTAGCCCGGCTAAATGCGGGGTGGCCATGGAAGTGCCCGACATGCGCGCGAGAGCGCCGGTTTCACCGGGTTTCTTCCCGGGAGCAGCGGCTACGAGGTCCACTCCGGGGCCGATGATGTCAGGCTTTAAGATGGCGTTGCCTGGCTTGGGCGGCTGGGCTGTGGCGGAGGGCTGCAGCAGGGGGCCGCGGGAAGAGAAGTCAGCCACCACGGGGGCGGAGGAAGATGCAGTCGTGAACGTGATCCCGCCGTCTGCTGTCAGAACGGTGCTGCTGCCGTCCGTGCTGTTGCCATTGAAGTTGCCGCCTGTGCTGCCATCCGTGCCGTTGCTGCTGGTAGTGGCACCGAGAGCGAGCGACTGAGCGCCAGCCGTTGAGGAAGCGAGGGAGGCGCCTCCTCGGGCAATGGTGCTGGCGCCAACGGTGAGATAGAAGGGGGCGAAGTTGTCAAGCGTGCGGTAGAACCCTCCACGACCGGGCGGCCCGGCGTTGCCGGCAGCAAAGGCGACAAACACCCCGGCAGCATTGGCACGCATGAAAGCGAGGTCGTTGAAATAGTTGTCGTCGGGATTCACGCCGCCCAGAGACAGCGACAGCACATCCACACCGTCCGCCACGCCCTGATTGACGGCTGCGATGATGTCTGATTCCGTCGCGTACATGTCCCCGTTGCCGTCCGTCCAGAAGACCTTGTACGCCGCAATGCGCGCTGCCGGCGCCATGCCGCTCACCTGCCCGCCGCCCTGCACCTTCACGGGGTTCCCCGCGGCCGCCCCCGCGCACCACGTGCCATGGCCGTCCGCATCTCGCGGCGTGAGCCAGTCGTTGCTCAACACGGGCCGGCCGCTGCTCTGCTGGAAGCCGGCATAGAAGGCCTTGGCGCCGATCACCTTGTTGTTGCACCGGAACGAGCTCGACTGCTCGCACTTGCCCTTCCACCCCGCGGGCAGCTGCGAGGAGAGGCCCTTATCGCTGAAGGACGGGTGTTCGGGCCAGATACCCGTGTCCACGATCCCCACCACCGTGCCCTCGCCCGCCTTGCTCTGCCCGCCCACTGCCGGCCACACCTTCCCGGGCAGCCCCAGGAACTGCGGCGAGTCGGTCGTCTGCCGGCGGAACACGCGGCTGGCGCGGACGGACGCCACGGCGGGGTTGCGCCGCAGCCGCCACAGCTGGCGCGGCGTGAGACGCGCGGCGAAGCCGTTGGACGTGTGCTTGTAGCTGTAGAGCAGCCCGTCTTCGGGTACGCCCGCCTCAGATGCCACCTGCGCCTGCTGCCTCTGCAGCAGCCCCGCGAACGCCGCCACCTGGGGGCGGTCCATGCTCAGACTCAGCCGGTGTCGCGGGCACCCGCCGCCACCGTTACGACCGCCGTTACCGTTGCCGTTACCGCCGCGACCGCCGCGAGCGTTGGGAGTGGAGGCGGCGTCAGATGTGGCGTTTGGGGGTGGCGTGGGCACAGTTCCGTTTGAAAGGGGTGTCGTGTCGTCCAAATCGACGGATTCGTCGCCTGCGGCGGCGGCGGAATCGCCGACGGGGAGGATCATCTGCGGCACGGCGTCGCTGTCGCCCTCCTCGTCGCTGCCGTCGTCCCACGTGGCCGTCGCGGGGTAGCCCGCGATTCCGCCGCGGTATTCGGAGAGGGGAGGCGCGGTACTCAGGCGGACGATGTAGACCGCGGAGCTATCCGCTGCTGGCGTCGCGAATTTGCCGGAGTTTTCCCTGGAGGGAGCCGCGAGGAGCGCATCATTGTCGCCGCCGTTGCGCCATGCGCGGTTCAGGTTTCGCCAAACGGATTCGCGGCTTGCACTGGATGGCTGTGCCGCAAGGAGGAATGCGGCCAGAAGCAGTAGCATCGCAATCGCGGGACCGTCCCTCATGGCGATACTTAGCTTTCGGCGGGCAGGTTGCTTTGAACGGTGCCTGAAACCGTTGCCTGCAGACGTTTGTTGGCCTAAAACTAGCAGTAGTAGCAGAACAGGTAGAAGGAACGGATGTCGAATTTGCTTTGAATGCTGCTGGAAGGCTTGAATTGTGATGGTGGTCCCACGGGTTGATGGTTCATTTTGTACTCACCGCTCTCATACGGAGTGAGGTGGGGTGGGGGCGTCGTCGCGCCGCAATGCACCTGCCTGGATGGTCAGAAATTGCACGAGGTCTGAAGATATGGGGCAGGTGAGCGAATTCTCGGACTTGCCTGCGGCTTTGGTTGCACCATGCATGGTTCACCAGTTTTCGCGAAACATGACATGAGGTACATCAGAGCACTGTGTTACGGCCTGGGGCCTCTGGAAGTCGACCACTTTTTCGCACATACTTTCGCATCGCTCACACTTCTTCTGGTTACCCAGTGCATATCCGTGACGGGCACTTGAAGCTTGGTTCTGTGCATTTCGGTACTATGCGTAGCTAGCAATGCGGCGCGGGTCAGTCCGAGCGTGCATGAGACGGGAACAGACCCAGCGCATGGGAGTTTGTGGTTACCAGCACTTGCGTTTTCGCTCAGACCACCGGTCCCAGGAAATTTCGTTCCAAAGAAAGTTCGAAGTGCTAGTTGCGTTGAAGCGGGTCTGTCATTGGTCATGCGAAAGTCGCAGAAGTCAACTGGCAGGGAGCAGGGAAGGCCGCAGGGACAGCTGGGAGGGATGGACATTAACAATCTGATCATTTATTGGCTTTAGTTCGGTTATCGAACATTCACAGCACATCATTGGCTCACTAAAGTCAGTGACAGCTTTGGCCTATTGGGCTGTGGCTCAGTCAGTGTCCATTTCTTTGGATCAATAGTGAGTACAGTACACAACCTGATCATTTATTGGCTATAGTTTGGTTATTAGCCATTCGCATCATTGGCTCACTAACGTCAGTGACAGCTTGGGCCGATTGGGCTGCGGCTCAATGACCTCAATGTGCACAGTCACTGTATCCAACACCTTAAATCGCCGCTTCCCGTCTTTCGACTCTACCGTCTGCGACTTCTCATCCACCACCCAGTCACTAGATGGTGCATTCCCATCGAGCTTGTTGGCAGCAGCAACTGCAGCAGCTTTCCCCTTGTGAGGTTCCTTGGGTACGAGATAGACTGGTCCCTCGATGCCATACCTAGAATTGAGCACAGAAAGGGAAAGTGCAGCACACAGGTTGTGCAGCAGGTGTGAGTTGTGCAAACACAGAACAACACAGAAAGCGTCGTTTTTGTACACAACATGAACACAGAAATTTTCGAGGGGAAAAAATAATAATGACAGAAAACAAATAAAAGGAGTGTTGCTTACTTGGGCACGAAGACGATCAGCCCATTGGAGCGGACCATCACTATCCGACCCTCCGCATCCGTTGGGCTGGCGAGAAAGTGATGAGAGGAGACGGACAGGTTAGAGAGAACAGCGGTAAGTACGTGAGAGAACGAGGGCGAAAGAAATAGACCAAATTTGCAAGACAAGAGACGTTCTGTGCACGAGAAGCATGGGAAGATGAATGCAGGAAGAAGAAGAAGGTGTGTAGGAAAGGTAGTAATGGTAAGAAGGACACGCTGACAGCTCACCGAGTGCGGAAGAATATGAGCGTGTGAAGCTCCACTGATGCTCGCCCCGCCATCTGAGCATTGCGGTTGCGATAGTTGAGGTCTGGCACATTGTGACGGGAGTGTGGGGAGAGGGGTTGAGAAAAACGAGAAGTAGGGAGGAGTGAGGGAACCAGGCGAAGACAAGGAAGTGTGTCGCGAGAGAGGGAGGCATGGGGTGAGGAGGAGGGGTAGAAGCAACAAGAGGGAGAGGAGAAGGTCAGCCTTCCAACATGTTTATTGACACAGCTATCCAAAGGTCAGCACGTTGGTCTGACTCTGACACATGACGACTTTTGCCATCAGTCACCTGGATCTTTCATGCAAAGTCTGCATAAGCACATACTACGCAAATTGCTGCCTGCTGTTTCTATGTGCTGTCAATGCCTCGTGTTGTACTGACTCCATATCACAGAAGCGGGAATTTACTGGGAGGAAACCACACTAACGTTGTAATGAGAGAGACAACGGGAGTGTGGACAGAATTTCCTGCTACGGCGTTGGTGCTTACTGTCAGTGAGGGCGGTGAGTGCAGTCTTATCCTTGGTCTGATCCGGCAGCGGTGTCAACCCTATGGCTGCAGCCAGCAGGCGATGCACCACCACGTCTGGTTGGGCATGGATGAATTCACAGTCAGAGGGGAGAGGGGCGGCAGAGGACGGGGAGATTTTGAGGCGCCTTAAATGGCAGCAATGTCAATCCGATGGCTGCGATGCAGGCGATGTACCACCACGTCTGCCTGCATGGGCGTTGGCACATTCAAGAGGGTGGGCACAGGGCGAAAGTGGAAGGTTGATTTGCCCCATACAGGTGAGAGGAGCGGGGAGGATCGAGAGGAGGGGGAGGGAGAGGTGGCAAGAGCAGTGGAGATCCGACGATAGCAGGGGAGAAATGTGGAAGGGAGATGAAGGTAAGAGAGGTGAAGTTAGGGGAGAGGAAAGGACACGTGGCGCCACTTGCCTCACCAGCGTAATAAAAGTGTTGTTTTGAGACGTCTCAAAACAACACTTTTGTCACGTGGAAAGGAAACGTGGCACCACTTGCCTCACCAGCGTAGCAGTGGAAGGAAGAGGTGAAGTGAGTGCATATGGGACCTGCCAGCTCGTAGTGGTGGTGGCACTTTGGAGGGCACTTTCTCTAACGCTCAAAGTCCAGGCGCCAAGTGTCTCACCAGCGTAGCGACGGATGGGGGAAGTGAAGTGGGTATAGATGGGGGCTGCGAGGCCGTAGTGGTGGTACTCTGCAGGGGCGAGCTGGCCGCTGGGAAAATACACCGCCTGGGGAAGCATGGGGGCATGGTGGGTTGGGGGGGGGTAAGGGGCAAAGACACGGATGGGGGAGGGGTGGGGTGGGCTGTGTGTGTGAAAGTGAGAGAGCGGGGGCACTAATATGGGCTGCGAGGCCGCAGTGGTGGTACTCTGCAGGCGCCAGCTGACCGCTGGGGCAATACACGGCCTGGGGAAGCATGGGGAAAGGGGGAACATGAAAAGGTTGGAGGGAGGAGAAGTAAGTCGATTATCAAAAGGGGGAACATGAAAAGGTTGGAAGGGTCTTCAGCAATCTGCTCTGCACCCTAGCTAGCGTATGTTTTTTGAGAATTCTCAGCGTATGTTTTTTGAGAATTCTCAAAAAACATAGGTTGGAAGGGTCTTCAGCAATCTGCTCTGCATGCACCCTAGCTAGCCCCATGTGCGCACCTATGGTATTATCAAGCATGAGTGTTGGCTTTTACCTGAGTCATGCACGTGTGTAGCACATTTTCTTTCTCATGCCATGCATGCATGTCCCTTCACTGCACATCCTAGTGAGCTCGCACCTGAGTCATGCAGCGAGTGGTGAGGATGCGGGTGAGATTGTTGAAATAGGGGCCAGGGCCCTGCGAGAACACAGAGGTGCATACCTTGCATCCTTTCATGTCCCTTCACCACATATCTCTGTCACCTCCCACCTGAGTCATGCAGCGAGTGGTGAGGATTCGGATAAGCTTGTTAAAGTAGGGGTCAGGGCCCTGTGGGGAGAGAGGAGCACACAACGGGATGAAGAGGAGGAGAAGAGTGGTTGAGAGCTGGTTGGTTGAAACGGCTCCACACAGGTCACAGCGGGGCGAGTGGTGAGGATGCGGATGAGCTTGTTAAAGTAAGGGAGAGAGGAGCACACAGACCGGTCGAGAGAGGGAGAAGACTTTTGAGACGGCTCGACATAAGTCCCTGTAGAGAAAGTGAGGTTCGAGAATTGAGAGGAAAAGGTGAACGGTGCAGAGAGGGCAATGATGAGAGTAGCAATGACGACAGGGGGATCGGGATTTCTCATTACAAGCAATTCAGCTGCATGGTCAAGCGAGTCAAGCAGCTCACCACAGAGCGGTCAAGCGAGTCAAGCAGCTCACCACAGCGCGGTCAAGCGAGTCAGCAAGATTCTTGGAGGAGGAGGTGTCAACTGCAATCCCCACCGCCTCTGCTGTGCGCAGCAGCGGCTCAAACATGTTGGGCGACGGGGTGGGGTGCCGCCTGTGTGTGAGAGCAACAGGGTAGGGAGAGGAACGAGAAGGAGAGGAGCAGGTGAGCGGTTTGCGAGTGTTGCTCATAACTGCAATCCCCACCGCCTCTGCTGTGCGCAGCAGTGGCTCAAACATGTTGGGCGACGGGGTGGGGTGCCGCCTGTCGTGGGTGGCAAGGGTTCGGTGGGTGGAAGAGGAAGTGGTATGGTCACGACCCATGACAATCCCAATGGTGCGTTTCAAAAGTCAACTTAGAACCAGCAGCAGCTCTAACATGTTGGGCGAAGGGGTGAGGTGCTGTGCTGCCTGTGTGGGAAATTCACCTAAGATTTCACCTGAGAGCCCCCTGAAGAATTACCTGAGCAGCGAGCAGGAGGCGAAGTGCTGGAGGATCTTGTCAGCTACGGACACATTGGCTGCCAGCATGAACTCCTCTATCATGTGATTGGCCTCCCGCACCAGGTACATGCCTGGAGAAGGGGAGGGGAATGGGGGGACGAGTGAGTGGCAGAGAGAGGCAGAGAGGAAGATTAGGGGCGGGGGCCTGATAGCATGGCAGCATCAACTCCTCTATGTGGTTGGCCTCTCGCACCAGGTACATGCCCTAAAAGGATAGTGAGAGGGAAGAAAGGGGGAAAGAGTGCAATGACAGATGCAGGGAAGGGTGGCGACGGCAGGGGGTGGGAGACTGGGGAAACGGGCGTGTGGATGCGACTAATGCGAGGAATGGCATGGAGAGGGGCAAGAAGGGTCGTACCAACGTCAAGGGGGTCGTGTGTCTCGGTGTCAATCTCAAACTTCACTTCCGGTGATGCCAGTGTCAGTGCTCCCCTGTCTATGCGCCGCTGCCTCATCACCTGGCGTGGGCACGGGGGGATGGGGGTGAGTGGGTATGGTGTGGTGTGGGTATGGTATGGTGTGGTTTGTTATGGTGTGGTGTGGTCTGCAGTGGTGTGGTGTATTGTGGTATGGTATGGTATGGTATGGCATGGTAGGGTATGCTAAACTATGCTATGCTATGGCGTCGTGTGGCATGGAATGCTATAGCATGACATGGCATCACACCTTGGCAAGGCGGTTGAGGTTGCGAAGGTCCCTTGTGAGGTCATCATGCATGCGCCTGATGCCATGGTGACGTCAGCAGAGGGTGGGGAGAGGGTTGGAAAGGGATAGGAAGGCGTTAGAAGAGGGAGGCAGCATGCCAGCTGGGATTGGATGCAAAAGGGGGGTGAGGCATATGGGATGCAACAGGGGGGCGAGGAGATGGGAGCATGGCAGGCAACTATCATCATACACACACATGCCACCACAGCGCTATTACTCAGGGACTACTCATGCAAAGAACACCCCATGCATGGCCATACTCACAAGCCATCTGTGACTACCAGCCAAGCTGCTATCCATACATCCCTAACAGGTCGCACACTCTGACACTCCATCCTTCACACTCACTCATCATCCATGCATCACTCACTCATCATCCATGATTCACTCACTCATCATCCATGCGAGCCTGTGCCTCCACATAGGACAGCGCAGCAGCAGATTTGATAACACTCTTGGTGAATCGCACCGATACGATCTCTGCTTCACAAGTCATCTCCTGGTCGGATGTGGCATGGCATGTGGGTTTGGGATGTGATGTGGGATGTGCATACATGCGTATCCTGGACGCGAATGCGTTAGGAGAGAGCAAGCAGCCAGCACCACTAGAGCGGCAGCAGCTACAGCAGAACCAACAGCAGCACCAACGGCAGCACTAACAGCGCACGAGCAGCAGCGGCAGCACTGACCCAAATACAGGAGAAGGCGAGTCGCTCCACACCGCCACGTAGGGAGCAGATGTCTGTATGGGGGGTTGAGGTGAGGCGAGGTGGGGCAAAGTAGGAGGGGTGAGTGAAGAGTAGGACAAGGTGAGACAGGTGTGAGAAGGTTTGACCAAAAGGCATGAGCAGGGTAAGGAGCAGGAGACGTTGGGAAGTCGCTCCACACCGCCACGTAGGGAGCAGATGTCTGGCGAGGGGAGGCGACGGGTGAGGTGAGGCCGGGGTGAGGCAAGGTGAGGCAGAGTGGGAGGGAGGGTGTGAGTTAGAAGTAGTAAGGAGTGGAACAATCTGGCCAAAAGGCATAAGGAGGTAAGAAACAGGTTAGCTTGGTGCATGCATGCATGAACGGTTGACGATGGGAATGCCGTGTGCAGAATGCGACGAGATCAATACGCAGACCGTTCGTCCCTAAAGAGGAACGATATGACCCGTCCCACCATCATCATATCGTTCCTCTTTACCCTCGTCCTGACCCTCACTTTCCCACCTTCAGTCAAGGGCTTGGGCAGCATGTCTATGCGGCGCTCCACGAGATACACAGATGTGCCGCGCTGCGATGCCTCCACGTCCAGTGGCGTGCCCGGTAGCACAAAGTTGGTCACATCCGCTATGTCTGCACAGGTGGGCAGGCGGGACAGATGGGGTTGAAGGGAGGGTGCAGCTGGGGCAACATGATGCGGTGAGGCGTGCCGGGCGGCACAAGGTTAGTCACGTCTGCTATGTCTGCACAGATGGGCAGGACGGATGGGGGCAGAGATAGATGAATCCAACAGGAGAATGGCTGGGACACTCGACATGCCTGGCTGGGACACTCGACATGCCTGGCTGGGACACTCGACATGCCTGGCTGGGACACTCGACATGCCTGGCTGGGACACTCGACATGCCTGGCTGGGACACTCGACATGCCTGGCTGGGACACTCGACATGCCTGGCTGGGACACTCGACATGCCTGGCTGGGACACTCGACATGCCTGGCTGGGACACTCGACATGCCTGGCTGGGACACTCGACATGCCTGGCTGGGACACTCGACATGCCTGGCTGGGACACTCGACATGCCTGGCTGGGACACTCGACATGCCTGGCTGGGACACTCGACATGCCTGGCTGGGACACTCGACATGCCTGGCTGGGACACTCGACATGCCTGGCTGGGACACTCGACATGCCTGGCTGGGACACTCGACATGCCTGGCTGGGACACTCGACATGCCTGGCTGGGACACTCGACATGCCTGGCTGGGACACTCGACATGCCTGGCTGGGACACTCGACATGCCTGGCTGGGACACTCGACATGCCTGGCTGGGACACTCGACATGCCTGGCTGGGACACTCGACATGCCTGGCTGGGACACTCGACATGCCTGGCTGGGACACTCGACATGCCTGGCTGGGACACTCGACATGCCTGGCTGGGATGCCTCGACGAGTAGTGGCGTGCCCGGCAGCACAAAGTTGGTCACATCTGCTATGTCTGTAGTGGGGACGGTCGGATAGGGGACAGATGGGGTTAAGTGAGACGGTGGTTTTGAGTTGACTCAAGTACACATGCCAACAGCACAAAAGTGAGTCTCGTCTGTTATGTCTGGTGGCGTAGACCAAAGCCGGCAGCATGCAAGAGGGAAAACTGGACACGCATAGCTCTTTTGAGGTGCCTCAAAAGGGAAATTGGACACGCATAGTTTCTGTTTTTCCACCCACAGCAAGGCCAGCAGCACTTACGAATGCCAACATCGAAGTTGCCATTGGGGAGAGGCACGCAGTGCAGCGCATCGTCGATATCCCGGCACCCGATGGGGTCCACACTGAACACAAATTCCCCACCAAGACAAGTACTCAAGACCTAGGCTCTTCCTTTCACACCGAGCCCAGAACCAGCACTCACGAACGCCGACGTCGAAGTTGCCATTGGGGAGCGGCACGCAGTGCAGCGCGTCGTCGATATCCCGGCACCCGATGGGGTCCACACTGAACACACGCACGTGGCGCAGGTCCTCCCTCTTGGTCTTGGGGTCTGTGACGTCTGCAGGAGACACGGACCAGGGGAGCGGCGGCAGGCACGCCAGCACTTGCTGCGAGAAGGGGCGCGCATCAATGTCGTTTTCCATTAGGAGCAGCTGTGGGTGGGGAGAAGGTGAGGCGGGGGGGGCCACGGGGAGGGTTTTGAGACGTCTCAAAACCCTTCTTCAATCATGAGGCGGGGGGGCACGGGGAGGTGAAAGAGGGGGGGAGCAAAAGCACAGCCAACGATTGGGGAGGGTTGTGGAGTGTGGGCTTGAAGTGGCACATGCTTCAAGAGAGGCACGGGTCAGTGTCTCCCCCACCACTCTCTGTCTCACCTCGCTCTCTGTCTCCCTGTCGCCAATATATCCCAGCGTCTTCACGTAGTGCCCCTGCCGGATCGCACTGTCGGGCTGCCAGCCCCCTTCCCAGCCCATCCCACCCCTTCCCACCCATTCTCACCCTGCTCCCCCCATCCCTTACTGCCAGCCAACCCCTCTCTCACCTCGCTCTCTGTCTCCCTGTCGCCAATATCCCCCAGCGTCTTCACGTAGTGCCCCGAGGGGAACGCGCTGTCGGGCTGCCAGCTGTCAATGGCCACCAGGATTCGCTTGCCCATCAGCTGGGCGGCCTGCCTTGTCTCCACACGGATGCGCGGCACCCTGCGGTCGGCAGCGACGAAGAGGGCGCGCACCAACGCCCCTGCTGATGCCGGGGGCGTGCGCATGGGGGCGAGGGAACCCGCATAGCTGGCGAAAAGAAGATGGAAATAAGCAGGGGGGGAACGGCAAAGCGGAGTGAGAATTGAGCTTGAAGGCACACTGCGGTCGGCAGCAAAGCAACAAAGACAGCACCTACCAACGCCCTTGCTGCCGTGAAGATGGCATGGCATGCACGCGGATCAGCAGCAGCTAGCAGATAGCAGAGGTGCCCGCTTGAGAGAAGAGGGTCACGAGGATCAGGGAGCAGGGGGGCTACATCATTTAGAGGAGGGAGAACGGGTTGGTTGAAGCAATGGAATGACGAACTGGTGGCATGAAAAAAATACGGGATGACTAGCCACTCCTTGCTACAAAAACGACTCTCCCCATCAACTCACGTGCGCCAGTTGCGTTTGATTATCCCCACCACCCGCCCCGTTGGCCTTGCCAGCTCAGATGGCCCCTTTCCCCCCTCTCCCCCTCCCCCGTCCTTCCCCCCTCCTCCGCCACCCCCCTCCTCCTTGCCGTCCCCCTCCTTATCCAGGGAGAGCGCAGCAGCAGCAGAGGAGAGAGTGGAAGGTGCATCGTCTGCCGAGGCGGGGGGCAGACCCACTGAGTCCTCCTCGCCCTGCTCCTCCGCTGTAACGATACACGAGAGGAATGGGTATGGGGGAGGGCAAAGAGGAGCGGGAGGGAAAAGGCGGAAGGGCGAGGAGGGAGGCACTGAGGAAAGCTGGAGAATGACAAGGGAGAAAGGGAAGAACGTCGGGTTTGATTGCCTTCTGCGGGCTAGAAACACTTACACACAAGTGCGACAGCTGAAGACGAGTGCATTCGAGAAACTAATTTTACAAGAGCCCCATCCAAGGGGTTGAGTCGACTCAAAAGTCACCTCCTCGTCAACAGCGTCATGATCGTCCTCTCTCTCCCTCAGCGCCCCGCTAGTCGGATCCCTCCACTGCTCCCGCGGCAGCAGATCCACCGCCACCACATCACCATCCACACTTTCTTTAGGCGCCTCTAATGAGAAACAGACTCACCAGCAGCTTCATCGTGATCATCTTCTCTCTCCCTCAGTGCGCCACTGGTGAGTTCCTTCCACTGCTCCCGCAGCAGCAGCTCCACCTTTTTGAGTCGCCTCAAAATCCACCCATCCCACCCTCCTTTTCTCCCTTGCCCGCCACTCACCAGCAGCATCATCATGGTCGTCTTCTCTCTCCCTCAGCGCCCCACTGGTCGGTTCCTTCCACTGATCCCTCGGTAGTAGCTCCACCGCCACCACATCACCATCCACACTTTCTTGGGGCGTCTCTAAGGAAAAGCAGACTCACCAGCAGCATCGTCATGATCATCCTCCCTCTCCCTCAGCGCCCCACTCGTCGGCTCCTTCCACTGATCCCGCGGCAGCAGCTCCACCGCCACCACATCCCCGTCCACGGCGCGGTTCATATCGCATCTGCCTATAACGAGGATCTCGTCCCCCAGCGACTCGGATCCCACAAACGCCTCGAAGCAGTTGTAGCGGCTCACGCGTAGCTTGCCCTGATGGTACAGCCCGCGCTGCAGCCCCGCTGTTATGGCTGACATGGGCTTGTGCTGGTGGGATGGGCGGGGGTAGAGGAGTCAGGCAAACGGCGTTGAGGTGAGGAGTCGAGGCAGTTGTAGCGGCTCACGCGCAGCTTGCCCTGATGGTACAGCCCGCGCTGCAGCCCCGCTGTTATGGCTGACATGGGCTTGTGCTGGTGAGATGGGCGGGGGTAGAGGAGTCAGGGAAACGGCGTTGAGGTGAGGAGTCGAGGCAGTTGTGGCGGCTCACTCGTAGCTTGCCCTGGTGGTACAGGCCCCGCTGCAACCCCACTGTTATGGCTGACATGGGCTTGTGCTGGGTGAAAGGACAGGGGGGAACATCAGGGGAAAGGAGTGGTTGACAGTACTGTTGCAGCCGCTCAGCCTCAGCTTGCCCTGGGGGTGGCACACCACATTACACCACATCACACCGCACCACACCACCACACCATCACACCACATCCAACCACGTCGCACCACATGACATGCTATCCATCCTCCATAGCCGCCACCCCACCACTCACATCAGAGTAGATTCTCTTCCTCTTGCTGCGAGACACGTTCGTCCGAAGCCCCCGATTCTCCTCCTCCCTCGCCGCCTTATCCCCCTCCCCTCCCTCCCCTCCTTCCGCCTCCTCCCCATCCCCCGCACTAACAACCAGATCCATGAGCTCTACACTCCCTAGCGACGCCACATACTCTCGCACTCTCATGGATTTTGTGCCGCCCGCCACCGCCTTTGCCAGGTTGGCTTTGTCGTCTGTTATGAGCACGACCGGCACTTTGCCGCCCAGATGCTGCTGGTACCACTGCGCTGCCACCCGAATGGCTGCAAGCGGAGAGGTGAGAGAGAGGCAGGGTTTTGTGGGAGGAAAGAAAGGACGAGAAGTAAGTGACGTGGAGAGGGGGTAAGGGGGGGGGTAAGACAGGGTGTGTGAGACAATGGGAGAGCGAGGGGAGAGAGGGTGAATCGCGAATGATGAAGGGAGAAAAGCAAGAGGGGAAGGCGAGGAAATCGCGGCCTTCTGACCTCGGTCATTCCTGTCGTTGGGACTCTCCCCTGGATCCGCCTTGATGTACGTGTCCCTGATTGATTGTGGGCCGCACACATGGTATCCCATCCACATGGGGAGAGGAGAAGGGAAGTGGGGAGGGGGACGGTTAGGGGGAAGAGGGAAGGGAGGAGGAAATAGAGGAGCACAGAGTGGGCAAGGAGCATTCAGAAAATCGAAGGGAACAAAACACGACAAAGAGGGGGGGGGATGGAAAGGGTGGGGTAAGATACTTGCGTTACATGCCGCCACTCATTCACCTGTGGTGTTCATTACAGAAGACCATGCCAAGACCGCCACACTGCTACTGTCCTTCTGACTCGTCTTGCAACAGGCCCGCAAGCACCCACTCACTTGTGGTGCTCATTAGAAAAGACAAAGAAGCGGCGTGATTCCTCCGCCACGAGCGCCCTGAGGCGCCCATACACCGCCACGTTGCGACTCTTCACCTCCTCCAGTACCACCGACAGCACCACCACGTTGCTGATCGCCGCATTCTCCAACAGATCAATCTGAAAGGCATGGATGGTGAGGAAGGCGATAGGGGTTGTATTGGGGGGATTTGACGTCAGCTCCACCTCCTCCAGTACCACCGACAGCACCACCACGTTGCTGATCGCTGCATTCTCCAACAGATCAATCTGTGAGGCATGGATGGTGACGAGAAACGGGATATGGCGGTTGTGGGGGGGATATGGGGATACGGGGAGGGTTAGGGGGTATGGGATATGTGGTTATGTGGTTATGGGGATATAGAGTTATGTGGATTTGTGGTTATGTATTTTCGGGGTAATGCGGCATCAGAATATGTGGTTATGCGGCTATGAGGATTGGGGATGGCAGGGATAGCAGGGATAAGGATATGGCAGTGGCGTGCGGATAGAATTCTGGCTGCCCTTTTTGAATCCCAAGCCCTGATCAGATGCAATCCCGGCCGCACTGCCTGCGCGGTCCAGAGCTCACCTGGTGCAGGGCGACGTTGGTGTCTATAACGAGGATGGTTTCGTTATTAGGCGAGAGGCGAGCGGATTCTTTGTCGCAGGCGGTGGCGGGCGACTTGGCGCAGGGCAGTGCGCCACAGGGAATGTCGTCGCGCAGGTAGTGTTCCCGCACCACCTGACGTCGCCGGCGATTCAGGCAGGAAAGGGCGGAGTAATAAAGTGGAGGGATGCAGATTCAACAACTTAGGGTTGATTTAGTCAGATGTGCGTCTGTGGATCTTAAGAAATCATTGCGAGCTAATGTTTGGTCCACTGAGAAGAGCTTGTAAGTTCTTGCGCGGAATCTGGGTGCGCGATGCTTTCGCTTCCACACAAACCCTGAACCTCGTACCCTAGCCCTGAAATCCTAAATCCTTGATTCTGAAAGCGGTACCGTCTCATCTGCCTACAAAAACGCTCTCAGGAAGTCAGCTCCGAACAAAACGAGTCGTTGCTAAGCTATTGAGAATACATTCCTGCAAGAACGTTCCTAGTCTCTTGCAAGCAATGCCGGAATGCAAATTACGAAGCTCAGAACACAAGTCCTGGTAATACCCCACGCCGTGGCTGTGGAGATTCAAAGCGAATCCAACGTTAAACTAGAAACACATCCACTACGCACCCGCTGTATGGCTCCTTTGCGCGTCTTGCGGACGAACTGCTTCTGATGAAGCATCGTGACGAGGAGTTTCCAGCTTGCCCAAGCGGTAGGTGTTTCACTGCGGGTGGGACCACCGTGGTAGCAACAGAAACGGTAACGAGCGCAGAAGACGCTAAGAATCCAGTCGATTACTTGAAAAGGGACGCAGGGAACGGAGAGATGCGCTGTGCAGAGCGCTGAGTATGACGTTTGTCGTGCTTCTGTGCGTCGCGTTCTGTTCGAAAGCAGGGATGTAGGAGAACCAATTGGAATCACTCCGACGGCCTGGAACAAAGCGTGCCTGGGCATCAGTTCAGTGTTCTTTACAGAGTGATTCAGTGCACTGTAAATGAAAATATATTTCGGATTCAGCTTATTCATTGCTCTAAAATGAAAATCAGCGAATCGAGCACCCGATTTTGGTGTCCACAAATGATCAGACTGGCTGACAAAGATGTGACCTGCCAGGATCATTGACGGCTAAGATTGATTTATAAACAGACCAAGATTTTGGACGAACCGGATGACTGCGTATCAGGCGGGAAACTCTAATGTGGCAGGCCTTCCACTTCGCAGGCTCGCCACCAGGCCTGATTTTCAGGGATCTCATGCGGTGAAATCGATGTCGAAGCGGGGACAAAATCGCCCGCCGACGCAAGGCTTCAGCTTTGAATCTGTTGGTTAGGTGGACAGTCCCTGAGCTCTCGGGCATTTTGCAACTGCCCAGATCCAAGCCTTCCTGATGGGACATTGGCCTACCACACCAGACCAGACTTCCTTTCTGTTCGGTGATGCTTGGCTGACAGTGACTTAAAGCGACGGGCAACTTTTGGCAGTGTTGGGTTCAGAAGTTTTTTTTTTTAACCAGGCTTGCCAGCGCGAAAGTGCTGGCTGGCGAAAACCAGGATTTCGTGCGGACACTTTCCATCCGCAGTAACAGTTCGCCAGGGTTCTGGGTTTTGGGTGGCAAATGTGCACCGTCGCTTTAATGAATTCCTGATTTCTGAGATGCTGCTTTGCTCTCTTGCAAGATTCAGCTTTCAGGAAGCCAGCCTAGAAGTTCCTAGCACAAAAACCTTCTTCACTAGTTTCCTTGCTGGATTCGCGTTTCCTCGGTTCCATGTTCGTGGAACCTTGTTCTTACATGTCTGCGGTTTAGATTACACTTCCCGTTTTTTGAAATCTCGGTGGGCTAGATTATTGTAGACGCTAGCTACTCGACTAGCGTAGGTCGGAATGGAGCCGGAAAGAGGTGGATCCGGGAGAGGCACAGATGGTCAGCAGCAGGTCCTCGAGATGTCCGCCGTTGATCTTCATGGTGACGAGGAGTAAGTGCTGACGTGGAAGATAGTCGACATTTTACTCATAGTGCACTAGATTCGTTTCATTTCTAATACAACGCAGTTCAGATAGTCGCTGATTGACGCGATCGGAAAACCCAATTCCTGTCATTTCTAGATCGAATTGGCTTTAGTTCATGATGATCCTTGCTATCTACTTTGTCCACATTCTCGATTTATCCTTTTCAGCTTATCAATGGAAGATGGACACCGAGAGGATGAACCTGCACCTGTCAGCGCCGTGAGGGAGAGAGACTCCAAGCTCGAGCTTTTTGAGAGTGACCCTCTGGTCGATGCTGTCGGCGTGAGAAGGTACAGCAACCACACCCCAATTTGTCCAGCCTCATTCCTGTCTCACTCTCCATTAACATGTGAATGTGCGATCAAATCTTGGCTAATCCTTTTGACCGGCACGTGCAGGATGGCTGGTGAGCATCCCATGAGTCCTCGTGACGGCGATGAGATGCACGTTCACCGAGGTTCCGACAGGGTACGTCCATTACACAGTCGTACGTCGAAACTCAATTATGGGCTAAAAACTTTCGAATCACATCGGCTTTGCGTAGACACGAGTCACATACAATATATAACCTCTTCTGGAAAGTAATGTGGCTCAACGCACCGGGTTGCGTCTGGTCTTGTGCAGAGCATGAAAGTAGCGAAGCTGGGTACACTGACCGGCGTGTACATCCCGTGCGTTCAAAACATCCTCGGAATCATCTTCTACATTCGTCTTTCCTGGTACGTACAGCGAATCGCTTATTGCCGTTCCCGCTGTCCTTGCTAGTGTCACAATATCAACCACCATGTTGTTCGCTTCATATACCAGCATTCATCTAACCGTCATTCTCTGATTGCCTCACGCACTACATCTTCCCTCACCCGTATTTGCGTCGTCATCGCGCGTGGATATTGCCAGGATTGTGGGTATTGCGGGTATCGGGCAGAGCCTGCTGCTGGTTGCGCTGACGTGCCTCAGCACAGTCCTCACGGGCTTATCCCTCTCTGCCATTGCCACCAACGGCGCCATGAAGGTGAGCACCGTCCCCTTCACAAGTGTATTTTGCGGATCCTGGGACTTGCGGGTCAGCGCACACATATTACACCAGCGTGATCACGGATCATGCGGAAAATATCTTAGCCTAGATTAGTCCAAGAATTCGGAAGCACTTGGAACAGTTCTAATGGGGAGGGGTATAGAGAAGAGAACCTGTGCGCGCTCTGCTGTCTCACGCCGCTCAGTCGGTTTTTGGTGCTGGCGTCTAGGTTCCGATGAGGATTGGAGATCCCTTTCTGAGTCTTAATGTTTTGCACGTTGCGTGCTGCAGGGAGGCGGCCCTTACTACCTGATAGGGCGAGCGCTAGGGCCTGAGGTGGGAGTGAGCATAGGGCTGTGCTTCTTCCTCGGCAATGCAGTCGCTGGCTCCCTGTGAGTGCTCCCCGCAGCCGCTCCGTCAGCCACTGTTATTTGACCTCCGTACAGTTGTACATTCTAGAATCAGGTATCCGCAAGGCTGACTCCTCGTTTCGAACTGCCTGTCTCAACCCTCCATACTCTCCCGTCGACCTACTGCACCGCCTCCCCTCTTCGCCCTCCCCCGCGTGTTCAGATACATTCTTGGTGCGGTCGAAACGCTGCTGGATTGGCTCCCCCAGATGTCCCTCTTTCCACGTGAGTTTCCCTATGGCCCGCCCATCCCCTTCACCTGCCCACCCACTCGTCTAACAACCCGTCTCTTTTCCCACTCGTCTCCATCCCATCAGATCTCGTTTCCCGTATGCCCTGTATCATCCCGGGCAGACGTGTCTGCAGCCTTAACTCTCGTCCTTTCCCCATGCGCCCTGTGTCCTCCCTCATGCGCTGTAACCCCTTACGGCCCACAGCGGAGCAGGTGACGTTTGGCGTGAACTCAACGACCAACTCGACGGTGGAGCTGGCGTCGACAGCGGACATGCAGGTGTACGGAGTGATCGTGACCGTCGCGCTGTGCATCGTGGTGCTGGGGGGCGTGCGCGTGGTCGTGCGCGTGGGGCCGCTCTTCCTCATCCCCTCCATCCTCGCCATCATCTGCATCTTCATCGGAATCATCGTTGCTCCCCGCAGCGGCAGCCCAGGTATGGTAGTCAGCCTCTCTCTCCCCGTGCTGCACAGTGCTTACACGTACTCTCTGTTAAGTGCTGGTTGATATTTGGCTAACCTTGCATATCTCCGCCTGTATGCGTCCTCGCAAATGTGCGTGTGTGTGTGCGTTTTGAGGCTGTCTCGCGTTTGTGTGTGTGTGTGTGGTATCATGTGTGTGGTGATGGGGTGTGCGTGCCGGCGTTTGGTAACAGAGGGGCTGACTGGGCTGAGCGGCAGCACGCTGGCGAGCAACTGGGCGTCGGATTACCAGAAGACCAACGCCAACGGCATTCCCGATGAGAACGGCAATTTCAACTGGAGCTTCACGTGAGCCTCGCACCCTTGCCCCCACCCTCCACGCTTTCCTCAGTTGTGGTCTTTTCTCACCCCCTTCGTGTTTCCTCCACACCCACTGTCCCACGTCAGCTCCACCCTCACCGTCCCTTGACTTTCATTTTACACGCATTGTCCCTTCACGTTCCTTCCACATCCACCTTCTCGTCCCTGCTTCCTGCTTCCAGCTAGCTCGTCAAAGAGAAGTCTATTCCTACTCGTCCTTCCTTTAACGTCCCTCCTTTCTGCCTTCGTCCACCCCATCCCCCGCCTCCCTCGGAAACCGACGCACACCTTCTGTCAGCTTCTGGGCTTATTTTACCCCGTGGTCACGGGCATAATGGCGGACAGCAACCAGTCTGTGTCGCTCAAGAACACACAAAAGTTCAACCCGCCTCACTCTTCTTTTCACGTCCCTCCCCTCTCCCGTCGTCCACCCCATCCCCTCCCCTTCCCTCAAACCCAACCCACCCCTGCAGTCAGCTGTTGGGTCTCTTCTACCCGGCGGTCACGGGCATAATGGCGGGCAGCAATCGGTCGGCGTCGCTCAAGGACACGCAGAAGTCCATCCCCATTGGGACCCTGTGGGCCATCGGCACCACCACGCTGCTCTACGTTTTTGCTGTCTTCATGTTCGGCTCTGTGGCGCTGAGGGATCTGCTGCTCACTGACCGGTGAGGGAGGAGGGAGGGAGGGGGGGACCATTCGGGGGGGGCGAGTGGAAGCTGAGGTTGGGAAGGATCACGGGTGTGTGTGTTGGGCCATTGGCACCACCATATTCTTGCTGCTTCGTTTTTTGATATGTGGTGTTACGAAGCCTCCTGCTCAATGACTGGTGAATACAAAGGGACAGGAAGGGGGATAAGACTGGGTGGTGCGAGGAGCAGAGGGGGGAGAGAGAAAGAGACGTGTCTGTTACCAGGAGAACAGAGAAGGGCAATGGGAGGTGGGTGTGAGAGGCAGTAGAGAAGATTCGGTGTGTGTACTCTCGCCTTTTTCTCCCCTCTCGTCCTTCTTCCCTGCTTCTCCCCATTCTCTACTCCTTTTCCACAAGTCCCGACTCCCCCACTCCCCAAACTCCTGCCTCACCTCCCCCAGGCTGCTGACAACCACGCTGGCATGGCCGTCCCCAGCAGTAGTTTAAATCGGCATCGTCCTCTCCACCCTTGGCGCCTACGTTGGACACCCTTCGTATACACCTTACCTTGTCATTTCTCCATTCTCCCCTCCCCCTTTTTCCCTGTCCAGGCTGCTGACGGCCACGCTGGCATGGCCGTCCCCAGCAGTGGTGTAAATCGGCATCATCCTCTCCACCCTCAGCGCCTACGTTGGACACACTTTGGGAATTCCTTCTCCTTTCTCCCTTCTTCCCCCAACCCCAGGCTGCTCACGGCCACACTAGCATGGCCGTCCCCAGCAGTGGTGTACATCAACATCATCCTCTCCACGCTTGGCGCCTTCTTCGGACCCACTGAAAATATACGGTTCCTGTCCTGTCTCCCTCCCTTTTCCCCGCAGGCTGCTCACGGCCACCCTGGCCTGGCCGTCCCCAGCAGTGGTATACATCGGCATCATCCTCTCCACACTTGGCGCCGCCATGCAGAACCTCATGAGCGCACCACGTCTGCTCACAGCCATCGCCAACGACGACATTCTCCCCATCCTGGACTGGTTCAAAACAGAGGACAACCAGGAGCCCTACCTCGCCACGCTCTGCACGCTGCTCATCTGCGCCGGCTTTGTGTGCATTGGAGATGTGGACTATGTCACGCCGGTGATCACCATGTTCTTCCTGCTGTGCTATCTCGGGGTGAACCTCTCCTGCTTCCTGCTGGATCTGTTGGATGCGCCGTCGTGGCGCCCGAGGTGGAAGTGGCACCACACGCTCACCGCCCTCGCTGGCGCCGTCCTTTGCGTTAGTAAGTTTTGAGGCGTCCCAAAAGTCTATCTCGGGGTGAACCTCTCCTGCTTCCTGCTGGATCTGCTCGATGCGCCGTCGTGGCGTCCGAGGTGGAAGTGGCACCACACGCTGACTGCCCTCGTAGGAGCGGTCCTTTGCGTTAGTAAGAACCTATTGTTTCGGGAGGACGGGAGGAGAGGGGTATTTTTTGTTCTTGTTTCTGCGTTTTTGCGGCATTAATCCTCCTGGAAGATAACCCTGCTTGTCAGCTGCTATCCTCTTTCCCATGTGCGCTTGTTGCCCTCCCATCACCTGCTCGTGTGATGAAACAATTGATTCCTCTCCCTTGTCTCCACCCTTGCACCAACCCCTCCCGCACCTGTTACGCTATCCCCCCCTCACATGCTCCCTCTCTCCCGTTCCCTGTGCCCCCCCTTGCAGCGATCACGTTCATGATATCGTGGTTCTCGCTACTATGCCTGCTGCTAGCCATGCGATTCATCAGGAGCTTCAAAGATCTCTCCTTCCCCCCTTTCTCCCCCTGTGGCCCCCCTGCAGCGATCATGTTCATGATATCGTGGTTCTTCACGCTGCTGTGTCTGCTGCTAGCTGTGCTCATCTACTACTACGTCAGCCTCAAGGGCGAGGCCAGAGACTGGGGCGACGCCTTCAAGTCTGCCTTTCCCTGAGGCGCCTCAGAAGGTGAAGAAGAAGCAGAAGAGACAGAAGTGATGAATACCCCCTCTCTCCCTTGTCCCCCCTTCCCCCCCTGGTGCCCCCCCCCTGCAGCGATCATGTTCATGATATCGTGGTTCTTCACGCTGCTGTGTCTGCTGCTAGCGGTGCTCATCTACTACTACGTCAGCCTCAAGGGCAAGGCCGGCGACTGGGGCGACGGCTTCAAGTCTGCCTACCTGCAGCTCGCCCTGCGCTCCCTCAAGTTCCTTGGAGGTATGAGTCTAGGCTAGGCTGTGCACACACTTAACGAATTTATGGTGTAGAAAGGCCCTGACAACTGTAAGGCCATCTATATGTTCCTTTTCTTTTTATCCTCTGGTGTTGTCACCAAATATGCACTTTGTGCATATGGGATGACAGTGTTGCGCGGGTGTAGATTGTGGTGTAGCGAATGTTGGAATGGAAGTTGAGGTTGAGTAGGGGGAGGACGAATTTGACGTTAGGAATGGGAGGGAAAGGACCGAGGGGCGAAATGCATTGAACCAATCAGGGAGGACCAGCCCAAACTCGAGCCGCACATTGTGAAATGTGCGACTTGAGCCTGGGCAAGGTAAGTTCAGTCAGGAACATCCAGTCCATGCTTTTCGCTTGTTATTCTCTCGTCATAGTGAAATCAGTTGCTCTAGATCCTACATCCAGCAGCACGCCACTAGGAGGGAACCTACGGGGTGAGGGAGGGAACTTCTTCATAACAAGCGAAAAGGGCGCATCATCGCGTGAGCATGGACAAGCACGAGCGGCGATGGGGCAGGCAGTATAGTCGCCGTGAGCAGGAGGAACGGCCGCGGCGCGAGCGCTCGCAGGAACGCGGGCGCTCACTGGAACGATCGCCGCGGAGGCCGGCTTTCCGCGCTGATCGGGTCCTCCAAGCGCCAGATGGACGTGGAGGAGGTTCGGCCCGGGATGAAACCGGTGGGGCGGGATCCGCCATGTCGAGAGGCGATCCGTGGCGGACGGATGCGCGCGACGGATCTGGAGGCGATTGTCGATATCGCCGTGACACGAGGGCACATCCCTCGCCGGAAGAAGGGTACCGCCGACGCGGAGAAGGCGACCGCGCGCGAGGCCCGCCAGGAGGGCATCTTGGTCGACGAGGAGATCTCGAGACGGACAGCGAAGAGGAGAATTCCCCCGTGGGGAAAATGCGGGAGGAAGGCCGCGGAGAAGGCACGGACGAGGGCAGCGAGGATCAGCGACGCCAAGTGGAGGACGCCAGTGGGAGTCACGGCTCCACCGCTGGAGCCGACGAGGCTGACGCCGCGCGGGCGGACAGCACGGCGGACCAGAGCGAGGCGAAGGCCGACGGGCCAGAGGGCGCACGAAAGGAGCAGCGAGAGGAACACCGCGACTGTCAGGAGGGAGATCCCTCGCCCGACCTGCGACAGCAGGACCGAGGAGAGCGGAACACGGAGTCGCGCGTGTCCGGAAAAGCGTCGGCAGCGCGGAGCAAGGCGAGGCGAGGGATCGCGCTCGCCCGATCCGCAGCAGCGACGCGATGGGTGGCGCGGTGGCGGGGAGCGCTCGCCAGATCCGCATCCGCGACGCGAAGGGTGGCGCGGCGGCGGGGAGCGCTCGCCAGATACGCATCCGCGACGCGAAGGGTGGCGCGGCGGCGGGGAGCGCTCGCCAGATCCGCATCCGCGACGCGAAGGGTGGCGAGGCGGCGGGGAGCGCTCGCCAGATCCGCATCCGCGACGCGAAGGGTGGCGCGGTGGCGGGGAGCGCTCGCCAGAGCCGCATCCGCGACGCGAAGGGTGGCGCGACGGCGGGGAGCGCTCGCCAGATCCGCATCCGCGACATGAAGGGTGGCGCAGCGGCGGGGAGCGCTCGCCCGAACTGCACCAGAGACGTGAAGGATGGCGTGATGTCAGGTCCCCCTCGCCAGATCTGCGCAGGCAGCAGGAAGGAGCACGTGATGAGGAATGGCAGTCGCCGTACGGCCGTCGGCAGCGTGGAGGAAGGAGAGACGAGAGGTCACCATCGCTAGAGAAGCATCGGCGTGAGACGCGGCGGGAAGAACGGGCGAGGGCAGACCACTCGCCGGATGGGCAAGGTCAACGCACGGAAGGGCGCGCGAGCTCGTAGGATCTGCATAAGGAGGCGAGATGGGACCAGCGGGGAAGCAAGGTCGGGGGCGGTAATTTGGCATATAGTGCGGAACGAGCCAGGGAGGCGAGGGAAGGAATAGAGAGAGCAAGGGAAAGGGGGACACACGAAAGGCAGGCCAGAGCAACAAGCGAGTCCTGGGGAGAAGGTCGAGGGAGTGCGGCGGCGGCACCACGTGTGGAGGTCCCGGCGAGGTTCTCAGGAGATCAACGTACGGGGCCCTCGCTCAAGAATTACCTCATGCAAGTGGGAAACGTGCGGTATCGGTGTGACAGGAGCGGCATGGACCCGGTAGACTTCTTTCTGAGCCTACCTAACACACTGGAGGGGGAGGCGGAGACATTGTATCGGATGAGGATGGATGAGCTGCTGCGGAGGGCGGGAAGGCACGGTGAAGACCCCACGGAGGCGTTCCTCCGCCGGCTGCAGCGACAGTTTCCGGGACATACTGCAGAACGGATAAGGGAGTTCCAGGACTTTATAAGGGGGCGGATGGAGTCATTGCTCACCTACTATAACCGACTGATCAACGTGGCGGAGGACGTGACGTGCACGGACACCAGCCTCCTGATTAGCAAGTTCTTGGGGGGGCTGGACGAGAGCTTGGGGGGTGGCCTAAGGATGAGGGTGTATGAGTTGGGGGCAGATGCGAGCCTAGAAGAGGTATTCGAGCTAGCGGAAAAGGTGGAGCTCGCACAAAGGAAGTATGAAGCATACCTGCCCAAGCCGTCAGAGCGCAGCTGCAGGCCGACATGGGCAGCAGCGATGATTCCCGAGGAACGAGGGAGACCAGAGGGTCGAGGGGAGAGCAGGACTGATACTCGGACCTGTCACAGATGCGGGCAAGTGGGGCATCTGCGCAGGGACTGCAAGAACTGTGATTGCTGCGGGAAGCCAGGGCACCGAAGGAGAGACTGTCCTGACACCCCAAGCTGTGAGATGTGTGGCAAGAGGGGGCACGAGGCGAAAGATTGCTATCAGCGGGAGGGAGGAGCAAAGAGGAACCCAGCAGACCTTGAGCGGCAGATCAGCAGACTGCAGTCGCAGCTGCAAGCATTAGGACCGAGGCGGGAAGCAGAGGCGGGAATGTACGCCAGGGATGAAGAAGGAGAAGAGGTGGAACAGGATGTGCAGTGTGCCCTCATGGCCTGGAGAGGCAGGGAAGAGATGGGGCTGAGAAGCGGGGGGAGAGACGGCAGACAGGATCATGTGAGGAAGGAGCGGGAGAAGGGACGGAAACCAGAGGAGCAAGAGCAGGAGAATGTGTCAGCGCGCCACCCACAAGAGAGGCTGGCTTGTCAGACCTCCGTGCTACTGGTGAAGGGGGGTGCAATGAAGGTAGAAGGGGAGAGGGTGAGGACTGCCATCATAGACACCGGGGCACAAAGTGTGATGCTGGGCAAGAGCATGGCAGAAAGGCTAGGATTGATGGCACCAGAGAAGCACGTAGCGAAAGGAATGCTGGTGATGACGGCAGAAGGGGGGGAATCGAAGTGGATGCCGTGCACACGGACTCCCATAGAGTTGACCCTGCTGCCGGGGGAAGAACATGAGACCAAGATCAGGATGAAGTGTGGAATCTCAGACTCAGAGGACTTCGACGTCCTGGTGGGCACAGAGATGGTGTTTGCAGTGGGGATGACGATATGCACGTGGACGGAGAAAGTGGAGTTCCGGACGCGATACTGGAAGAAGGAAGGGCGCTTGGGGCAGCTGCCCGTACAGTTCGTGAAGGTGGAGCCGAAGAGAGCGTACCAGGCGACTGCAGGGCAGACGCCAGGGGAACAGCAGGCAAGGGGACAAAAGGGACCGAAAGGAGCAGAAGAAGAGCCCAAGATGAAGCGCATGGATGAGCAGAGGCACCAGACTGACTGGCGGCAGCCCATCCGACTGGTGGAGCTGTTCGGGGGAATCGGGGCAGGATTGGCAGCTGTGGTGAGGAGTGGAATCGCCGTGAGACAGTGGATATACGTGGAACAGGCACCAGCAGCGAGGAAGATGGCTGAACACCACGCGTTGAAGTTACACGCAGAGTTCCCAGAGCTACTGAGCAGGGAGGTGATCCGGGAAGCAATGGGCAGAACCATTCATGACGTGAGGAAGGTGACAGAGGCAGAGGTAGCCAGCTGGGGGCAGGTGGACCTGCTGGTGGCAGGGTGGGAATGTCAAGGGGTATCATGGGCCGGAAAGGGGAAGGGAGAACTGGACCCCAGGACGAAGCTGATGGAGGACATGTTTCGTATCATGGACTGGTTGCAGGAGAGGCAAGGCAGGGTGGCATACCTGCTGGAGAACTTGGACCTGGAAGGGGACAGCCGCGAGCCAATTCGGCTAGTGAGAGAGAAGATTAAGAGACAGTTGGGCAAGGGGGTGAGCTCTGATGTGGCAAGAATGGGGTCGTATGCACACCGGCTCAGGATGTATTGGCAAAACGTCGTGCCAGTGCAAGACCTGCAAGAGGAGGCGGACGGGGTGAGGAGAGCTTCGGGGAGAAAGGTACAGGACATCCTGGAGCCCGGGCGGACCCCTGCACCAGTGTGCAGGAAGAGCTACAGCAGGCACTACCCATGTAATCAGGTGGGGCAAGACAGGCGGGCGCTGCCCACTCTGGTCGCCTATCAGGGGGCAGTCGGCTATAAGTGGGAAGCGGGGAAGCCGGGGCCGGGGCTAATATATGACCATACGAGACGACAATGGGAGGAACCAACCGCGCTGGAGCGAGAGCTGGCCATGGGATATGGGGAGGATGTCACAGCAGCCACAGGGGTGAGCGAGGAAGAAAGGAGGAGGGCGCTAGGGAATGCCATGGACGGCAACATGCTGAGGTGGTTGATTCAGCGGATGTGGAGAGAGACGGTTCTGAACTGGGGGCACCGGGAAGATGAGAAGGAAACTGCGCCTGTCCCGCAAGGAGCATGGAGCTGCCGGGAGGGGGAGAAAGAAAGGTGGACAATAGGGGACCAGATGAGTGAGAAGGGGAAGGAGGCCATGCAACAGTTGCTGGCCAAGCATAGGAAATGCTTTGCCTTCACCCTGCAGGAGTTGGGACGGTGCAAGGTGAAGGAGATGGAGCTGAAGTTGAGCAGCGCAGAGCCCGTGTTCCACCGAAGGAGGAAGATGCCACCTGGGGATGAGGAGATTTGCAAGGAGAAGATCAAGGAGTTGCTAGAGGCGAGGCTGATTAGGCGGTCAGAGTCGGAGTATGCCACGCCGACAGTGGTAGCCGCACGAAAGGACCTGACGTGGGAGATTCTGAGCAGGAGGATGTGCGGTGATTATAGAGCACTCAACAAAATCACCGTACCGGACAGGTACCCGATGCCAATGGCTGAAGAGATTTTTGATAAGCTGGCGGATGGGGTCTTCTTCACGACGCTGGACCTGCGACAAGGGTTTAATCAGATTAAGATCAGAGAGGAAGATATCAAGAAAACTGCGTTCCATGGGCCAGATGGGCTGTACGAGTGGTTGTACATGCCCTTTGGTTTGAGGAACGCATCAGCCGTGTTTCAGAGGTCATGGATTCAGTGTTGCGTGATGTGGAGTGTGCTGCATGCTACATCGATGACGTAGTGATCTTCAGCGCCACGGAACAGCAGCACTTACAGGATGTGGAGAAGACGCTGAGTGCACTAGAGGGGGCAGGACTTACCTGTCACCCGAAGAAGTGTAGATGGGGAGAGCAGACCGTACTGTACGGTGTACCTGGGGTACGAGGTGACAGAGGGGCAGATCGGGATTCAACAGGCCAAGGTGGAGGTCCTGGACAAGCTTCGGGAGCCCAAGGATAAGTCGGGGTTGCGGGCAGTGCTGGGCTTCCTAAGCTACTACAGGCGGTTCGTGCCCAACTTCAGCAAGCGAGCCACGGTGCTGAATGGGATGCTGAGGGAGGACAAGGCGTGGGAATGGGGAGAAGCACAGAAGGAGGCATTGAAGGATTTCATGACAGCGGTTAAGACGGCAACGGTGCTGCAGCTGCCGGTAGCGGACCAGCCGTTTACCCTCTACACTGACTGGAGCAGCCAAGGAATGGGGGCCATACTCTGCCAGGAAAAGGAGGGGGAGGAGAAAGTAGTAGCACATGCGAGCAGGAGCTGCAACTCGGCAGAGGCACAGCTCATACATAGGGGAAGGACTAGCAGCAGTATGGGCCGTGGGCCACTTCAGGGTGTACCTGCAGGGCCGTGAGTTCACATTGGTGACGGACCACCAGCCACTAACGTGGCTGATGACCACACCGGGGCTGACGGGCAGGAGCGCACGGTGGGCCATGAAATTACAGGAGTACGACTTCAAAATCCGGCACAGGCCCGGAAAAACCCTGCAGCACGTGGATGGCCTCTCCCGCAACCCGCCACCACCAGAGCCCACGGCGACTCTGATCCTGCTGGCAAAGCAGGTCAAGCTAAAGGGGGCTAAGGGGAGCAGAGGGCCGGCAGACATCTGGGAGGATGAAGCAGCCATGAGGTGGGTGAAGGGGGAAACGGATGAGGATGAGGAGATGACGGAGAGGGTAAGGGCAAGGGGGCACCACTACAGGTGGTACCAACAGCAGCTGCAGATACAGACAGAGGATGGGTGGAAGCTGGTGCCAGCGCCAGGCGAGAGGGAGGCGGTGATCCTTGAAGTGCACACTAAGCTGGGCCACTATGGGCATGAAAGGACGGTGCAGTTGCTGAAGACGGGATGGTGGTGGGAGGGAATGCGAGGGCAGGTGAAGAAGTGGGTGGAGAATTGTGAAGCATGCCAGAGAAGCAGGGCGAACCTGACGCAAGCTAAGGCCGAGCTGCAGTCGCTGCCCATCCGCGGCCTGGGCTTCAGGTGGTCCCTGGATTTGGCGGGAGAGCTGCCTCTGAGCAGGGGAGGGAATCAATACATCGTGCTCATGGTGGAGCACGTGAGCAAATGGTTAGAGGTAAGGGCGATCCCAAGCAAAAACGCAAGGCATGTGGCAGCAGCGTCCAAGGAGCAAGTGCTGAGCAGATTTGGAGCGTGCGGAGAGGTCCTCACGGACCAGGGGAATGAGTTTCAAGGGGAGTTCAAGAAAATGTTAGAGGAGGCAGGCATTACCCACCGCCGCACCTCCCGCTACCATCCCCAGAGTGACGGGTTGACTGAGCGGCTGGTGCAAACCATAAAAAGAGGATTGCGGGCATATGGGGAGAAGAGGAAGAGGGACTGGGATGATGAGCTGCATTGGATTGCGGCAGGGTACCGGTTTGGGAAGCAAGCAGCCCTGCGAGATCATTCACCGTACAGCCTCTTGTTCGGATGTGAGCCAATACTGCCGGTGGGAGCGCCACGGGTCCTGACAGACACAGTAACGGCGGGCACCATAGGCAACTGGGTAGCACTGTCCGAAGTCAGAGCGAGGTACCTGCGAGTGGAGAGATGCGAGACGCTATGAGCAGCGGCAGCAACAGGGGTCGGGAAGAGCAAAGAAGGGAGTCAGCGAAGGTCAGGAAGTGTACTTGAAACGGGCGAAGCAAGACACGCTGGACGTCGGGGTGGGGACAGAGAAATGGAGGGTGAAGGAAGTGCGCCCATCTGGGGTGTTAGTGCTGGAGAACGAGGAAGGAGCGCAGCTGAAGGAGCATCAGACCAACACGGCAGTGATACGAGGAGCTAAGCCTCAGCAGAGTGGTCCTGTGACCCGAGCTCAAGCCGCTCGAGCCCGGGCACAGGAGGGGGCAGGGAATGGCTGAGGTGAAACATCACATGCAAGGAAAGAAAGAAGAATGGAAGCAGGAAGAGGAGCAGGTGCCAGAGGAAAGGTGTTCTCCGACAGCTGTCACCAAATATGCACTTTGTGCATATGGGATGACACTGTTGCGCGGGTGTAGATTGTGGTGTAGCGAATGTTGGAATGGAAGTTGAGGTTGAGTAGGGGGAGGACGAATTTGACGTTAGGAATGGGAGGGAAAGGACCGAGGGGCGAAATGCATTGAACCAATCAGGGAGGACCAGCCCAAACTCGAGCCGCACATTGTGAAATGTGCGACTTGAGCCTGGGCAAGGTAAGTTCAGTCAGGAACATCCAGTCCATGCTTTTCGCTTGTTATTCTCTCGTCATAGTGAAATCAGTTGCTCTAGATCCTACATCCAGCAGCACGCCACTAGGAGGGAACCTACGGGGTGAGGGAGGGAACTTCTTCAGGGAGTGGCTGAGGTGAAACATCACATGCAAGGAAAGAAAGAAGAATGGAAGCAGGAAGAGGAGCAGGTGCCAGAGGAAAGGTGTTCTCCGACAGCGTCTTCTTGACTTATGCCCCTTCCCCGTTGCTTCCCCCGAGGCAATTTGTCTTGAGACTGATCCCCCCCACCCGCACTCTCTCCCCACCTTCTCAAACGGGTCTTTGTATTATATCAGCCATGGGTACATGCAAACGGGCAGAGCCAGAGGCAAATAGCTGCAAAATAGCTACAACAATCCCTGCTCCCCAACCGCACTCTCTCCCCACCTTCTCTGTCTCCCCGCTTTCTCTCCCCACACTCTCCTCCCGCCCTCTCTCCCGCATACAGCGAGTCAGGTGCATCCCGAGAACTGGTACCCCATCCCGCTCATTTTCTGCAAGCCCTGGGACATTGTGTCTTGGAACTGACCCTCTCCATCCGCACTCTCCCCCCTCCTAACCCATCCACCTTCTGTCCTCCCCGCGCTCTCTCCCTTCCCTCGTTCCCTGCCCGCCCTCCCTCCCCCCTGCAGCGAGTCAGGTGCATCCCAAGAACTGGTACCCCATCCCGCTCATCTTCTGCAAGCCCTGGGGCATCCTGCCTCCCGACATGCCATGCCATCCGAAGCTTGCTGACTTTGCCAACTGCATGAAGAAGAAGGGGCGCGGAATGACCATCTTCGCCACCATTCTTGAGGGCCGCTTCAGGTGCGAGCATGGTTACATGTGCAAGCATTGTGCGCAACGTTTGAGACATCACACTGGGAGGCAGGTGTGCTTGCAGTTCGCCTGTTTTTGGAGTGGAACGTCCCAGATGCATCTCCCTTGCAATGGTTCACCAGTTACCTATCCGTCTTACATTCCTTCTTGCCCTTCCCTGTACCCATGGCCCTCACTACCTCTCTGTCATTCACTCTTCCCTTTTCTGCGCCCCACCCCTTATTCCAGGGATCGAGCGGAGGATGCACGGTCAGCGAGCCACCTGCTGCTGAGCTACATTGACTACAAGCGCTGCGAGGGGGTGGCTGAAGCCATCGTGGCTGACTCGCTCAACGAGGGCTTCCGCATTGCCTTACTTTCCTACTCCCTTGCTCCCTCCCTCCCTCTCTCACTCCACTCCCTTGCCCATTTCAACCCCACTCCCTGCAAATCGTCCATCTGAACGCGCCTCGTGGGCCCTCTTACCCTCTACCAGGGACCGGGCAGATGATGCACGGTCAGCCAGCCACCTGCTGCTGAGCTACATTGACTACAAGCGCTGCGAGGGGGTGGCAGAGGCCATCGTGGCTGACTCGCTCAACGAGGGATTCCGCATCGCCGTGCAGACCATGGGGCTCGCAAATCTCAAGCCCAACATTGTGTGCATGCGCTACCCTGAGATCTGGCGCGAAGACATCCAGCGGTGAGGAGCTTCTTTGAGTGTCAAATTTTTCGTTTCTCAGGCGTTTGGGGAGAGAATCACAGAAACACAAACACAAAAACACAAAAAATCCAACATCCAACATCGTGTGCATGTGTTACCCTGAGATCTGGTGCGAAGACAATTGGAGGGCAGGTTACATGCGAGGATTTCCGTGGAAAAGGGAAAAAGAAATCAACCTTAAGCCCCTCTTCCTCCTCCTCCCCTTCTGGCGCCTACAGGGACATCCCCGGCACGTTTGTGAACGTCATCAACGACTGCAACACGGCGAACAAGGCGTGTGTGATCGTGAAGGGGCTGGACGAGTGGCCGGGCGAGTACCAGAAGCAGTACGGCACCATCGACCTCTACTGGATCGTGCGGGATGGAGGCATCATGCTGCTGCTGTCCCAGCTGCTGCGGGCGAAAGAGAGCTTTGAGAACTGCAAGATCCAGGTATGTGTCTCATGCGTAAATGCTATGTGTTGACTGGTCAGTTGACCCGCAAGCCCATCCTGAAAGGGCGAGAGTACCAGAAGCAGTATGGCACCATCGACCTCCACTGGATCGTGAGGGACGGTGGCGTCATGCTGCTGCTGTCCCAGCTTCCGCGGGCGAAAGAGAGCTTTGAGAACTGCAAGATCCAGGTGAGTGACTCATGCATAAGTACCTGTATCTGATGATTCGTCTGCAAGCACGAGGAGGGCACAGAAGCAGAGAACCTGAAGCTGCACGTGAGCAAGCTTAATGACTATTCCCATGTGTTCGCCTGTGCCCCTAGAACCACTAACCTTTGCTCCCTTGCCGCCCGTACTGCCCCTGCACTCCTCCGCGCGCGCCTGCAGGTGTTCTGCATTGCAGAGGAACACTGGAGCGGAGAACCTGAAGCTGGACGTGAGCAATGGAATGACTGTATTGAATGTTGCTTATGCACGAATAACCACTGTCACTTCTCCCCTTCCACCGCTGGACGCCTGCAGGTGTTCTGCATTGCGGAGGAGGACACAGGCGCGGAGAACCTGAAGCTGGACGTGAGCAAGTTCCTGTACGACCTGCGCATGCAGGCTGACGTCATTGTCGTCACCATGAAGGCCTGGGAAGACGTCGTGTCCGATGCTGAGGGCGCAGAGGCAGAGCTCGCCCGGCAAGGCGCCATGGAGGCTTTCACTCGGGTGAGTGGGAGTGTGCCATGCAGGGTTCTTCAGGGAAATGGTTGCAGATTGCAGCCAGGCATGCAGGCACCTGTGAGAGTGAGTGGTACGGTGGTGCCCCTTGCCTTGCATTCACAGTCATGGTGGAAAGTCTGCGGTGCTGGGTTTGGTTATCACCATGAAGGCATGGGAGGACGCGGTGTCCGATGCTGAGGGCGCTGAGGCAACTTTTGAGTCGACTCTAAAGCCACCCCGATGCTGAGTGCGCTGAGGCAGAGCTCGCTCGGCAAGGCGCCATGGAGGCTTTCACGCACGTGGGTGGGAGGAGTGTGCCATGCAGGATAGGCTCTGGGAATGGTCACAGATGCAAACCCTGAGTACAAGCACTGAGTGGGGATTTGGACAAGCCGTTGTGCGGGTGTGTGGGGCTGCAGTGGTACCCCCCACGCACCACTGCACGTTCACCTGTACATTCACAGTCCTGCAAATGGGTGGTGCGTGCTAGAGGTGGTAATGATGGTGTGGGCACAAGTCTATGCTGCAGCTAAGGCTCTGGATTCATTTTTCACACTCAAATCTTCATCCCATTCCATCCCATCCCTTCCTACCCCACCCCCTGCCCCACTGCAACCCAACCCCTCCCCCAGGCGCGGCGCAACATAGCCCAGAGAATGAGCGAGGACCCCGAGGCTGAGACGCACCACTCACTGCTGGACGAGAGCAAGGTGAATAAGTTCCTCTACACCACAATCAAGCTCAACTCCATTATTCTGCGGTACTCGCGCATGGCTGCTGTGGTGCTCGTCAGTCTCCCGCCTCCCCCTCAGAACCATCCCCCTTATTGCTACATGGAGTACATGGACTTGCTTGTCAACAACATCCCGCGCTTGCTTATGGTCCGTGGTTACCGCCGGGATGTGGTTACCATCTTCACATGAGTTAGAGCTAGAGATTGTAGTAGGGAACGGAGGTTTTTGTGTTTGTTGTACTTATTCCACGCCCTTGTGCCAGGGCTTAAGAACATACTGATTACTTTTGGATGCATGTACGTCAACATGCCTGGGGGTCTTGTGAGCATTGCTGGATAATGAGATCAAAATTAAAACGGAAGGAAGAAGAACGTGTGGTGATGCAGACGTACAGATAAAGAATGCTTGTTGATTTGAGTTTTCCTGAGATATGTCAGATGTTACGAGTGCAATTGAGTGAACGAACGAGAATTGCACTATCGAAGCAAGAGTACAATGAGCGAAGGTATGAGCGAAGAATATATAGCGAAACTACAGTGGTAACGGTAATGGACTGTGGTTGTCGCGCGACGGGCCTTGGGACTGAGGTTGGGAAAAGTGTCGAAGCGGAGGCCCGGAGCGCGGGTTACCCGCCGAGCCGTGAGGTCGGGGTGCGACGTGCGAAGGTGGCGGGCGGATTGTCGATGCGAGGATTGCGAGTGGTAACGGTGCTGACTGTGGCGCTACAGTGATGTACGCGTTGAGCAGGGACGCGAAGTAAGGAAAAGGAGATTTTCCTTACATCAGAACAGGTGTAACAAACCCTCAAGAAGACAGGTTCCCAATTTTTCCCTTGGACCACGTCTCAGCAACAAGAAGTGCACCCACGATGGGACTCGAACCCACAATCCTCTGATTAGAAGTCAGATGCCTTATCCATTAGGCCACGCGGGTACGAAATTGTGGTAAACAAAAATTATTAGTATTGTTTCAACTCAGATCACCTCAAGACACCACTAGACTGGCGAGGGACCATGGATTTGGACGCCGTGGACTACGGAGAGGACTGGCGAGATGACGACGTACTTAAGGACCGGGTTGAACGGTCCACAGACGATGCCGAAGCACGAGTGCCGCATTCGGCCCGCGGAGTTCATGGCGATCAGCCAACGGCTAGCTCGAATCAGCGAACCGCACTCGTTGCTCCTCCGTCTGCCATGGATTGTCGCAACTACGACGCCTCGGCTTACGCTGAGCGCGTTTTGCGCGAGCGGAAGCTAGCCGGGAGCGTGATCTACGCTGCGCTGCTCGTTCCGGGTGACCACGTCAGCATGCCAGCTGGAGAGCTGAGGGACGAAACGTGGCCGTCCACGTCAGCAGCGCCGCGGCTCGTCGCATGTGCTTCGAGCAGCGGTCGCGTATCGGTTCACTCGCTGGCTTCGTTAGTCGCCTCGCAGGTACTTTAAATTCCAGGGTCGGCGAAGGAACCCCTATCCTATTCCTAAAAGAGAGGCATTCCCCCCTCCGCGCCTTCCTCGTGTCTCCACCTCCCCTCCCCACAACATCCCCCCCCCCCCCCCCCCCTTACCCCCTTTTCATTCAGTCACCCCAAAACTCTTTTCCCCGCCGCCTCTCTTCCCGCCTCCCCTGTCCCCGCGCATGGCCAGCGCGGCGGCGGGCCTTGGGGGGAGGCGGGGGAGGGGGCGAGGCGCGTGGGGGAGGCGCAGCCCGCAGCAGCGGTGCAGGCGCACAGGGGGGCGGCGTTTGGGCTCAAGACGTGCGCTATGGGGGGACAGCCGCTGCTGTTCAGGTGGGGAGGGGGATCGAGCCCCTAACTTCCAGGCCCTTCATTTCTACGCCTGCAGAAGAATATAGAAAGCTTTTTCTTCTTTCTTCCCATCCTTGGTTCTATTTTCTAGAGTTACAGACAGCTGAATGAATATGTGGCGTGGCGAGTGCTGAAAGTGCTGCTGTAGGCTTGTTTGTGCTGATGTGGCAGCTGCGGGGACGACGGTCGTGTTGCAGGGTGGCGGTGGAGCGACCTCCTCTCATCCAATCCTGCTCAAGGTGAGCCTGCCGCTCAGCTAGTCAGCTCCTTCATAACCTCGTTGCAATTTTTGAGGCGCCTCAAAAATAGTGGCGGTGGAGTGGAGCGACTTTCTCTCGTCCACTCCTGCTCACGGTGAGTCTGCCACTCAACAAGTCAGCTCCTTCACAGGCTTCTTACAACCTTTAACACATGCTAACTCTTACTCGGCTAATCCTAAATCGTTTTTTCACAGCATGCTAGTCTTTCTTCAGGTGTCCAGAACGAGGTGACTTTGGAGTCGACTCAAAAGTCACCTCTTACTCAGCTATTCTCGATTCTTGTTTTCACAGCATGCTATTTTTCCGGTGTCCAGAACCACATTCCTCTCACCAGGGCGCCACGTGCATGTTCAATGTAGCGCTCACGTACCCAAAATATGCTTGGTAAAAGGTCCACCCCTGCGTTGACCTGGTCAACCCAACCCCATTGCTCCACCCCCAACTCCCCCCACTCCAACTCCCAGCCCCTCAAGTGGCCCCCTGCGTTGACCTGGTCAACCCCCCCACCACGTGGGCTGCTGCAAGGGGCGTGGCAGTGGTGCCAGAGACCAACGCCATTGATGTTGACGAGCAGGTGTGTGTGTGCACACATGGTGCATGGTGCATGGTGCATGGCAATGGTGCATGGTGCATGGTGCATGGTGCATGGTGCATGGCAATGGTGCATGGTGCATGGTGCATGGTGCATGGTGCATGGCAATGGTGCATGGTGCATGGTGCATGGTGCATGGTGCATGGCAATGGTGCATGGCAATGGTGCATGGTGCATGGTGCATGGCAATGGTGCATGGCAATGGTGCATGGCAATGGTGCATGGCAATGGTGCCGGAGACCAACGCCATTGATGTTGACGAGCGGTTGTGCACATGCATGGTGCATGTTCCATGGTGCATGCATGGTGCATGTTCCATGGTGCACGGCGCAATTTGCGGACCGCATGCTGCATTCGCATCCCATCATTGCACACTTCTCTCCCCTCTCTGCACCTCACAAGGCACTTGTATCCCTCTGCACCCCTTCCGTACACCCACCCACCCATTCCTCCCAACTCCTGCAAAACCACTGCAGAGGAACACCATTTACAGTGCAGCAGGCAACGGGTGTGCATACGCATGGGACGTGGTGAGTATAGATGAGATGAGACATGGTGGTTGGGTTAGTAGAGGTTAGAAAGGGGGGGGTTGCTTGGGACTTCTCCTGCTCTGATTCTCTTTGATGTCTCAACACGCGCTGCCTCACTTTCTTGTTTCCACCTCTCGCCCGCTTCCATTTCATACACGTGCTTCGCCTTTCCACCTCTCAACTCAAAAGTCAACTCGCTTCCATTTCATACACGTGCTTCGCCTTTCCACTTCTACACACGCCTATCTCCCCCTTACTTTTCTGCCTGAAGCGAGGAGATTTTTTAGGCGCCTCAAATCATGCCTTCCTCCCCCTTACTTTCCCTCGCTCTCATGTGCTTTTTCAGGAGTCTCAGAAGCGGGTCGCTGAGTTTAGGGGCCACTCAGACTACCTGCACTGTGTGGTGGCACGGCCGCAGCACCACCAGGTGAGAACAAAGCCAGGTGAATATAAGCGCCAGGTGAAAAAAAACAGAGCCAGGTAGTATTAGTCATGAACAGCAGATGTGGTCAGGTCAGAAAACAAAAAAGCGGGTGGCGTCGCTACTGCAAAAAAAGAATAGTTCCAATTGGTCCTTTAACCTTACCTTATCACAAGCTCGCTTTCCCTCTCTTACCCTCTCCCACACCCCCCCCTCCCGCTCAACCCGTTGACCCTCACTCTCTTCCTCCTCCCTCCCCACCCGCCGCCCCCACTCTCCCCCTCTCACTCTTGTCCTGGCCTACCTCTCACCTTGCCTGGCGACTCACATAGTGACAGGGTCAGAGGGTGGCGTGTGCTGAGTGGGTTGGGTGGCATTGCTTAGATGTTCTATTCTCTACCTCTCCTCTCTCCTGTCCTTTTCGGTCCCCTCCCCCACCCCCATTCTCCCTCGTCGCCTGCTACCTCCTCACCCCCTCTCTCCCCCCCCCACTCCCCGTCACCCTCACCCTCTGCTTCCCCTTCCCCTTCCCCGTCCTCATCCCCCTCCCCTACCCCTACCCGTACCCCTACCCCTCCGCTCACCTCAGATAGTGACGGGGTCTGAGGACGGCACATGCCGAGTATGGGGTGGGTGGGGCCGCTGGGCTGGCATGCTGTGATGTGGTGGAATGGGTTGGCGCATGCACATATGTGGTGCAGACATGAGTATGCGTTTGATCCAACTGAAATTCATGTGGACGCAGGCATGGGCATGGATATGGGGAGTGGGCATGTGCATGTGCATGGGCATGGGCATGGGCATGGGCATGGGATGGTGGGCATGAACTTGAGGTTCTTGGCAGGTGTATTCATCAACATCCCCCGCTGCTCCTTTTCTCTGACCCTCCTACCTGCCGCCTGCCCGACCTCAAGCAATTCTTTTTCTCCCTCTAACAGCCCTTTCATCGTCAACTTAGCTGCCAATTCCATACGTAACCCTTCCTTCCTAGTGGCCTCTCATCTCCCTGTCTTCTCATCCCCCCCAGTCTTCTCCATTCATCCTCACCATCCTCTCAACCTCTCTCCTCCTCCCTCCTCTCATCTCCTCCCACCCCACCCACCAGATTGCCGCACAGCCACCGCAGTGCTGTGTCTCAACCCCTTCACTGCGCGCCAAGCACCCCTCTCCCCCTCTTCGTCCTCCTCCCCCGCCTCGCCTTGGGTCAGCAGTATAGCAACTGACTCCACAACTCCATGGCTGGTGAGTCCTTTTCAGTCGTCTCAAAAGCACCCCTCTCCCCCACCTCCTCCACCTCCTCGCCCTCTTCCTCCCTCTCCTCACCGTGGGTCAGCAGTGTAGCAGTCGACTCCACGGCTCCCTGGCTGGTGAGCCATCACTCTCACCCCTCCCATCCCCCTCATCTCTCTCTTCCCCTCATCTCCCGCATCTGCCCTCATCTCTTGCATGCCTCTCATCTCTCACACTCTCTGATCTAGTAACCAAGTGCGCGTCTGAGTCGACTCCTTCACCTCCTCATCTCCGGTATGCACCTTTTCTCATCGTCCCTTCCCTCCATCCACCTCACTCCCTCCCTCCTTTCCCTTCCCTCCTCTGCCTCTGTTGCCGCCCCTTCCGCCGGCTTGCCGCCCGCCCTCTCCTCTGCCGCCCCCCCTCTCCTTGCTGCCCGCCCTCTCCTCTGCCGCCCCCCTTCTCCTTGCCGCCCGCCCTCTCCTTTGCTGCCCACAGCTGTGTGGCACAGGCGGCAGCACGGCGTCTCTCTTCTCTCTGCAGGCACCCGCCTCTGCACTGCTGCGTGTGTCTCTTGGCGCGCCAGTGCATGCCGTGGCCATGGGGAGGGATGCGGATGAGGTGAGAGACACACATGGGGGAGGCATGGTGGGTGTCTTTGGGCCCAGTCATAAGGCTCTGCTGCACATGTTTCTGGCCGCACCGGTGCATGCGGTGGCCATGGGGAGAGGCGCAGATTAGGTGAGAGCTGGGTGAGGCATGGTAGATGTCTTTGTTGTGCCCAGTCATAAGGCTCTGCGCCACATGTTTCTTGGCGCACCAATGCATGCTGTGGCCATGATGAGAGACGCGGCGGATGAGGTGATGGCATGGAGAGGGCGTAAAAGAAGATGGGAGGGATTCAATTGTACTGGTTGGTGCAATTTCAGCTGTCAGTGCTGCTTGAAGGTTCTGATTTGTGGAAGGAGATGGCGACAAAATGTATCCAAATCATTTCTTTAAGCAACAATCCGATCATTACGCAAAGTTGTGCAGCAGCAATCCCAGCTCTAGTCCGACTTTTTTTTATTGGTTAACTGGTATTGTTGTTCCATATATACTAACCATACTACAACCATTGAAAAAAGTCAGACTAGTGCTGGGATTGTTGTTGCACAATCTTGCATAATGATCGTACTGTCGCTTAAAGAAAGGTTCTGGATACATTTTGTTGCCGTCTCCTTCCACAATATCAAAACCTAAAAGAAAAAACCATGACAAGGGCCCGAATTACACCAACCTGTATAATCAATTACAGCACTAGTCATCTGGCGCTGCTGCACGTGTCTCTGAGCACACTAGTGCATGCGATGGCCATGGGGAGGGACGCAGATGAGGTGAGAGAGATGGGGGGCGCATGGGTGGGGCATGGGGCCGGGGCATGGGGGCGGGGCATGGGGGCGGGGCATGGGGGATGTGGCAAGGGCTGTCATGTGCCCAATCGTCTGGCTCTACTGCACGTGTCTTCAGCGCGCCTGTGGTCATGGGGAGAGACGTAGATGAGGTGAGTCATGGGTGGGGCATCAAGAGTGATGAGTGAGGCGTGGTGGGCATGGGGAAGGCATGGGGAAGGCAAGTGCGAGCGAGGCATAGGGGAGGCATGGGGGGGGCATGGGGGGAGCATGGGGGGGGCATGGGCAAGGTTCTTTACTATCCATCCCCATGTGTCGCCTTACTGCATACATCTACCCTTCATCCTTCATATCAACGATTCCACTCGCCTCACCTATCCATCCACCACTCCACCCCTCTTCACCCCCACTTACCCCTTTTCCCCTGCACCAACTCTCCCATCCTCCCGTCTCCTGTTCCCCTTCCCTCTCCCCCCCGTCAACACACCTCCCCCTCTTTCTCCCTGCTGGCCACAAGCTACTTGTGGCAGGAGCCAGCGCTGTGTTGACTTGGTTGACTTTTCTTTAGGTGGCTAAAAAATATATCCCTTTCCCCCGCTCTCCCCCTCCGTTCCCCCCCCCTGTCTCTCTGTGCATGGCATCAGATACTAGTGGCAGGAGCCAGCGCTGTGTTGACTTGGTTGACTTTTCTTTAGGTGGCTAATAACCTCTTTCCCTCTTCCCCGCTGCCGCCCCTCTCGCTCTTTCTCTCTCTGCATCGCATCAGATACTAGTGGCGGGAGCCAGCGCTGTGTTGACTCGGTTGACTTTTGCCGGCCAGCTCAAGTCACTAACTGCCACGGCCATGCCATCCATCTACTCCCTCCATTCACATTCGCCGTCCCAGGTAACACCTTCCCAGGTAGCACCCTCCCTTCCAGGTGGCAACACCCTTTTACAACAAGGCCTTCTTTCTAGACATTGATCTCCCAGGAATGTGAAATTCCTGTTGGTTAACAGGTTGCCAGAGGTCGATGGAGATTGGCAGAGGTTGGCAGAGGTTGGCGGAGGTTGGGAGATGCGTCTTAACAAGGGGCAGGTGCTCCTTGTTGCGTGAAAGTTGCCTCTGCCTCTCACTGCGTGCTCCCCTCAGCTCCTCCTGTTGGTGTGTCAGGAAATCTGTCTGACTTCCTCCCAACCCTACCTCTCCATTTTCACGCTTTCTCTCTCACACTCTCACTCCTCACTCTCTCCTTCTCAATCTTCTCTTCCTCACTGTCCCCCGCATTTCCACTGTGTGCATGATGCCCTATCTCTGACGCTCCTCCCTCACTCCCTCTCAACCCTGCAGGGATTTTTTAATAATTATCAAATGGTCACTGTCCCGCCCGTTTCTACTATGTGTGCGTGCGATGCCCTATCGCCAACACTCCTTCCTCGTTCCCTCTCAACCCTTTGCTTGCTCTCTTCTTCCCTTCACAGCTTGTGGCAGTGGCGGGGAGAGGGGGGACAGTCGATATAATCACCAGCATTGGCAGTCACCTGGCCACTTTTCAGTGCGCCTGACAGTGAGTGGATAACAGTGTGTTTGGTAATCATTACCCGTTTAAATGTATACGTACATGTCAGGCATGGTAACAGTGAATAGAACTTGGCACAATGTGCCATTCGGCTAACAAGTACCGTAATATCTGGTTGCCAACATTCGGTTGCACTATGATTGTATTCTCACTGAATATTACAGCTTGCTCCTGTGCCCCTGCCAAGGCAGCGAGCCTAGCTGCTTTGCTCTCTCCCGCAGCAAAAACTTTTGGATCTTGCCCGTCGCAGTCTTGGGCAGCGCGCCGAAAACAACGCTCTTGGGTGCCATAAAGTGTGGCAGATGCTCTCGGCAAAACAGAATGATATCTTCCTCAGATACCACCTGCCCAGATCCCACCTTCTCAACCCCTCCTGCACTGGCAGCATCAGTTGCACCATCAGTCGCAGCTCCACCGGTAACCGTGTAACCAGGTTTGAGGCCCACAAAGGCACAAGGTGTTTCACCCCATTTATCATCAGGTCTAGCCACCACTGCTGCTTCCATCACTGCAGAATGCCGGTACAACACCCCCTCCACAGCAATACTGCTTATATTCTCCCCTCCAGAGATGATTATATCCTTAGAACGGTCTTTAATCTCCACATACCCATCTGGGTGCACCACGGCCAGATCTCCCGAGTGGAACCACCCACCCGCAAACGCAGCAGCTGTCTCCTCCCTCCCATGTAAATACCCCCGCATAACTGTATTCCCTCGAAACACCACCTCGCCTATAGTCACACTGTCCATAGGCACAGGCCGGAGCGTCCTATTATCAACCACTGTAGCAGTCTGCAACCCGATGTGCCGCACGCCCTGCCGAGATTTGATTCTCGCGCGGTCGGGCAAGGGTAAGGAGTCCCAGCGGGGTTTCCAGTCACAGAACATAGCCGGGCCATAGGTCTCTGTTAATCCATACGAATGGATAACGTCGAAGCCTAGCTGTTCCATTTGAGCCAAAATGGCTGCTGGGGGAGGGGCACCTCCTGTCAGTACCGTAACCCTCTTGGTAACCCTGTTGCTTATCCTGCTGGTTACCCCATGCTGTTGCTCATCGTTACCCCACCCTATCTGCTGCACCTCCCCTCGTTCCTCTCCGTTCCCTCCTCGCCTAGCTCCCAGCAACGCCTTATCCTCCTCATCAGCATTCACCATCAGATTCAGCACCACCGGCACCCCCACCATCACCTCCACCCCTCTCTCCGCCACCGCCGCAAAAATCGCGCGAGCACTCACATTCCTTATAAGCACACCTGTGCCGGAGACAGCAGGGAGCGACCAGCTGAAGCACCACGCGTTGCAGTGGAAGAGCGGGACGGAGAGCAGGAACACCGCGTGCGTGCGCAGCTGCACCATAAGTGCGGCGCTTAGCGCGTTTAGGTAAGCGCCGCGGTGGGAGTAGACCACGCCCTTGGGTTGTGCTGACGTGGTGCCTGACGTGTAGTTGATGGCTATTGGGTCCTGCTCGTCCTGTGGTTGGTGCGATGCCCACCAGTCAGAATCTGCCACTTCAGCAACAAGAGAGAGCAATTGCGGGCGTGAAGACAAGGGATCGGAAATATCTGCAATATCACCACCAACAGCACCCCCACCAGCAGCAACATCACCACCACCAGCAGTGGCAGCGGCAGTAGTAAGGGCAGTGGCAAGTCGGGCGCCAGACACAGGACCAATGCATGGCACCGCTGCTATCCACTCTTCATACTCCCCCACCGCTCCCAACCCCTCTGTATCCGCCTGCTCGCCGCCTGGATCCGCCATGTCAGCAGACGAGTGCACCTCGTCGTCCGCTATTAGCACGATTTTTGGACGCACGTGGGATGTGTGGGCGGGAGTGGCGGTGGTGGGGAGGAGGGAGAGTGCGGAGAGAGCGAGAGATGCTAAGTGTTGGTCCACCAGGAGAATCTGCAGTGGGGGAAAGAAGGGGGGAAGAGATATGGAGGAAGGAGGAGGTGGGAGTGGGGGGAATGGAAATACGAGAGTGGAAGAGTGTTATGAGTGTTATGGGGGAGGGGGGGGGGGGGAGTGAGAGTAGGGTTGGGGAGGGAAGTGGCGAGAGAGAGGAGGAAGGGGCGAGCGCGTGAACAGAGAGAGAGGTGCACACAAGAGAGCACAGAGGGAGCAGGGAGAGCAGCGGGAGCATTAGAGGGAATTTTCTCGCATTCAAACCGCTTGGCACCACATGGCACACCTTGCTATCGCTGTGCGCGAGAATGCGCGCGACGGAGGCGGCGTCGAGGCGCGCGTTGACGGACACGAGCACGGCCCCCGCGAGCGGCACGCCGAACTGCGCCTCGTACGCCGCGGGGACGTTGGGCGCAAGCACCGCCACGCGCTCGTATCTGCGCGCGCCCGCGCGCTCCAGCGCCGCCGCGAGCTGGCAGCAGCGGAGGAAGGTTTGCGCCCATGTGAAGCGCCGCCGGCCGTAGATCACGGATGGCGAGTCGGGATGGACCCGCGCCGCCCTCTCGAGGAAAGTCAGCGGGGTGAGCGGCGCATAGTTCGCCGGTCCACGCGGCATCGCGGCCTCGTCGAATATGTGCGACTCCGGTGGAGCCATCGCGACTCGATGTCGCGCTGGTAGAAGATAGCCTGGCGCGCTAATAGTGCAACCGTCGCGGCACTAGAAGGAGCAACGTGACCAACAGCGATACGAAACAACAGAAAACAACCACGGATACTACTAGCAGGGTGTGACTTACGCGATCCCTCGTAAATCAAGTGTGCAGGTTTGAATGGCTTCACTCCGTGATCCATGATCCATCCCGCCACTGCGACTGCGCAGTTGG